TCATTCTTTTTTTCTAAGGAAAAATTTAGAAATTAATTCTTAATCACTACAGAAATTAATTAATTATCCCTAAATCCTTCCTGTATTGTGTCTACCCTATTTCACAAAATTAAGCTCAATTTCAAAATTTTGATGTAAAAAAATACTTTATTTTTGAAATTATAATAAATTAAATTATTAATTAATTATAATTCTATTAAAAAAATTTATATTTAAATCAGATTTTTTAATTAATAAATAAATAAATAAAAATATATTTCATAATAAGTCAGGCAAACCATAAAATTTTTTTATGGCATCTTGCAATAATTAGAGAAATTACAAATATTCCTAAAATTACAGAGCTAAAACAGAATAATCTACTTATAAACATTATTTTTATAATATTTAAGAACATTAACTACTAGGTTTTTTTCAAATATTACTAAATAAATAACTGGCCATCTCTAATTCCTATTAAATTTTTAAGTATATGTTTGAAATACAAATATTAAGTTTAAATAGTAATGTTAAATTAATTCTGTGATATATCTTCAAAACCAAATATATAAATTAATATTTGATAATTAATTAATTAATTAATTAATTATTATATTTATTTGTTCCTTTTAACCATTTATTATTAATTAATTAAATTTCATAAATTGCTATTCAATATTTTTGAAAAAAAAAATATATGATATAATAGATTAAAATATATAATAATTTAGAAGAAGTAATTATTAATTTTTTTATTAATATCCTTTAAATTTATATAAATTAATAAAAAAAGTTTAAAAGCTCTTCACTTTTATCTCATTAAGTTCTCGATATTGATCTGAGGTATATTTAATTAAAAAATATTATTTTTATTATTACTAATATTTTTTGAATATTTAATTTTCAATTTATTTAAAAAAATAATTTTTATTCTAGAAATTATCATCATTATTTTTTGATTTTTATTAAAACTAAAATTTTTTATTTTTTAACTTAATTTTCATTTAAATTTTTAATTATTTATTTATTATTCATTTTTTATTATTTGATATTTTTTCTTCATTTTTTGCTATTAAAACTTACACTTAATAAAAAATTAATAAAAGCTAATTATTTGTTTTACATTGTAATATTTTTAATTATAAGAGTTAATTTAAAACATTAAAGTTCTTTTAATTTATTTGATTTGCTTTCCTTTTTCTTTTTTTTATGGTTTCTTATTTTTTCATTCTTTGTTAATTTTATTAATTTTTAATTAATCTTATTATTTCATATTTTTTCTTCATTTTTTCCTTCTAATTAACTAGAGTGAAATACCTATTTAATTTTTATCTTAATAAAATTATAAATAAAGCTAATTTTTAGAAAGTATAACATATCTTTTTTTTGAAAAAAATAAATTTTGAAAACCTATAATGGAAAAAAATTCATAAAAAATATTTAAAATCTTAATTTTATAAAATGTGAAAATGGTATATATAACTCGCTTTTTGTAAATTTGTATGGTTACTTACTCTTTTAATGATATATTTTTTCTTCACTTTTTCCTTCTAATTAACTATTTAATGATTTCAATATTTAAAAAGAAAAAATTTAATTGGTGATGAAGATAAGTCAGGCTTAGGTTCTGCTTTAGCAAATTGCATTAATCTCTCAAATTTGACACTTTACCTTTAGTAAAAACAGTTTATTTATTTTGGATTGTGATATTTTTAATTATAAAAACTAATTAAAAACAATAAAGCTCTTTTTTCTTTTTCTTTTTATTGTGCTTGCTTTTTTTTTGTTCTTTCTTTGTTAATTTAGCTCATCATTTTATTTTCAACTTTTGCTTTTATTATTTATTTCTTATTATTTCATATTTTTTCTTCTTTCTAATTAACTATTTAATGATATATTTTTTCTTCAATATTTAAAAAGTAGCAATTAAATTGGTGCAATTGGTGCATCAGGCTTAGGTTCTGCTTTAGCAAATTGCATTAATCTCTCGAATTTGACACTTTACGTTATGTAAAAATAGTTTATTTGTTTTGGATTGTGATAATATTTAATTATAAAAACTAATTAAAAACAATAAAGCTCTTTTTTCTTTTTCTTTTTATTGTGCTTGCTTTTTTTTTGTTCTTTTTTTGTTAATTAGCTCATCATTTTATTTTCAACTTTTGCTTTTATTATTTATTTCTTATTATTTCATATCTTTTCTTCATTTTTCCTTCTAATTAACTATCTAATGATATATTTTTTCTTCAATATTTAAAAAGTTACAATTAAATTGGTGATAAATGTGCGTCAGGCTTAGATTCTGCTTTAGCAAATTGCATTAATCTCTCAAATTTGACACTTTACCTTTAGTAATAACAGTTTATTTGTTTTGGATTGTGATATTTTTAATTATAAAAACTAATTAAAAACAATAAAGCTCTTTTTTCTTTTTCTTTTTATTGTGCTTGCTTTTTTTTTGTTCTTTCTTTGTTAATTTAGCTCATCATTTTATTTTCAACTTTTGCTTTTATTATTTATTTCTTATTATTTCATATTTTTTCTTCTTTCTAATTAACTATTTAATGATATATTTTTTCTTCAATATTTAAAAAGTAACAATTAAACTGGTGATGAAGGTGCATCAGGCTTAGGTTCTGCTTTAGCAAATTGCATTAATCTCTCAAATTTGACACTTGACATTAGGTAAAAACAGTTTATTTGTTTTGGATTGTGATATTTTTAATTATAAAAACTAATTAAAAACAATAAAGCTCTTTTTTCTTTTTCTTTTTATTGTGCTTGCTTTTTTTTTGTTCATTTTTTGTTAATTTAGCTCATCATTTTATTTTCAACTTTTGCTTTTATTATTTATTTTTATTATTTCATATTTTTTCTTCTTTCTAATTAACTATTTAATCATATATTTTTTCTTCAATATTTAAAAAGTAGCAATTAAATTGGTGCAATTGGTGCATCTGGCTTAGGTTCTGCTTTAGCAAATTGCATTAATCTCTCAAATTTGACACTTGACATTAGGTAAAAACAGTTTATTTGTTATGGATTGTGATATTTTTAATTATAAAAACTAATTAAAAACAATAAAGCTCTTTTTTCTTTTTATTTTATTTTCAACTTTTGCTTTTATTATTTATTTCTTATTATTTCATATTTTTTCTTCATTTTTTCCTTCTAATTAACTATTTAATGATATATTTTTTCTTCAATATTTAAAAAGTAAGAATAAAATTGGTGATGAAGGTGCATTAGGCTTAGGTTCTTCTTTAGCAAATTGCATTAATCTCTCAAATTTGACACTTGACATTAGGTAAAAACAGTTTATTTGTTTTGGATTGTGATATTTTTAATTATAAAAACTAATTAAAAACAATAAAGCTCTTTTTTCTTTTTCTTTTTATTGTGCTTGCTTTTTTTTGTTCTTTCTTTGTTAATTTAGCTCATCATTTTATTTTCAACTTTTGCTTTTATTATTTATTTCTTATTATTTCATATTTTTTCTTCTTTCTAATTAACTATTTAATGATATATTTTTTCTTCAATATTTAAAAAGTAGCAATTAAATTGGTGCAATTGGTGCATCAGGCTTAGGTTCTGGTTTAGCAAATTGCATTAATCTCTCAAAATTGAGACTTTACCTTTAGTAAAAACAGTTTATTTATTATGGATTGTGATATTTTAAACTATAAAAATGAATATAAAACAAAAAAGCTCTTTGAATTTATTTAATAGTTTTATTTATTTTATTTTTTTATCTTTTTTATTCCACTAAAATTATTTTATTTATTAATTTAAAGAATAATTTATCATTTAAAAGTTTATTCTATTTTGATATTTATATTAAAATTTACACAAATTTATTTTAAAATTTTTAACTCAAGGGATATATCATAAAAATTCAAAGTAATAAGCAAGTGTCGTAAATCAAAAAGATTAGTTGTCTTTTATTTCCAATGATAAACAATTGGTGAAAAAAAGATGAATAAATATAAAATGTTTGAATAGTATTATATATCTTATTATATAATATTTTGAAAAAGTTTTTTTAACCTAAAATATAAATAGATAGATAGATAGATTTTATTATTGATTTTATATTTATAAATATCATTCATATTTTTGTAAGTAAATAAATTATTTATAAAAAATAAAAAAATTAAATTTACTAAAATAAATTAAATCCTCATAAGCAAACCCTCTGGTTTCTCCAAAAATAATCAAATAATTTGAAACTTTTAGTGTTATATTACATCTGATTAAATTATATAAATGCCAAACTTTTATATGCCAGTTATATTTTAATCTTAAACATTATCCATCAATCATATTTCTATCCTTTTTTTATTTATCATGATTAATTAGATGCCATGATTTAAATAAAACATCAGGGAGAAATCATGTTTTACTTTTTATTTTAACTTTAATGGTTTTAATGTTTTTTTTTTTTTTTTTTTCTAAAATTTTTAATTTATCTTATGATCATTTTTTTCATTTTATATTTTTTAAAATCATAAAATAATTGTTTTTTTAAATTATCATTTAAACCTTTTAATTTAAATATATTTTAATATGTAGATTAAAAAGTTAAATCAAAATAATATTCTTAATAATTTTTTTAATTAAAATATAAGTAAATGATAAGTTTTTTGTTTTTTACCTAAGGTTGATTATCAAATTTGATAATTTTTTGCACTTAGACAAAGCAGAAAGTAAATCTAAAGCTCCAGATTCTACAATTTAATTTATGCTTTTTATTAATTTAGATATTTTTAATTAGTTAGTTAAAATTCAATTAATTTTTTAAAAAAAAGAGTAAATTGTAAAATTTTTAAGTATTTTGCAAAAATAAATTAAATATTTAAAGAAAAGAGCATACATATATCTTTAGAATATAAGTAGGTATTTTTATTAACTTTATAGAATTTAAAAAAATTATTATGTAAATTAATTATTCTTACTTTGCAATTAGAGTCAAACTTAAGAGGTTAGTGCATGCTATTAAATTCAAACCAAGTTATGATACACCAAATGCGCCTATCTTATTTTCTCTTAATATAAAAATCAATTAATTAATGGAAACATATTTTAAAAACTTCAAATATGAATTGAATTCCTTAATTATGTTATAAAAAAATAAATAAAATTGTTAATATAAAAATTTCAAGCATAAATTGTTAAAATCAAAAATTTTGATTATTTTAAATTATTCTAACCTCAGGTTAAGAGTTAAAGTTGAGAGATTAATACATTTTGCTAAAGAAACTCCTAAATATTATGTGCCTTCGTCATAAATTTGATTTTCACTTGTATAATTATTTATAAAACCAATAAATAAATTTTTAATAAATTAAAAATAGTTTGATTTTTTGTTTGAACTATATTAGGTAGAAAGATAGATAAGTTTGAGATAATAAAAATAAGCTAAATTTACCCAAGATAAAGTGATAAATTCTTTAGATTAGTGCACTTAGCCAAACCCTAACTTAAATTTGATGTACCTTATGCTTGTATTTAGTTCATGCTTTTTATATATTTACATTTAGTTAAATGAAATGATTACATGAATATTAATTTAATAAATAAATATTGAAATTAAAAGTGAAATTTTAATTTTAAAATATTCTAAAAAATCTTAGAGTGAAAATAATTAATGATTAAATAATATTATTTTTTATTTAAAAGTTATTTTAAAAATTTATTAAAGTATTAAAAAGTAAAATAAACAAATGATATTACCTCAAGTTAAGTATTAAATTTTAGAGAAGAGCACATTTTGATAAGGCATGGCATAAATCTGAAGCCCCTTGAGAACCAATTAAATTCGAACTGTATAGATATTTTACACAGATATTTAAAAAGAAAAGTTTTAGAAAATGGAAAAAATATTAATTAAAAATTATTTTAAATTTAAAAAAAATAAAATTTTTTTAATGTTAAAGATTTTTCTTTAGCATAAAAACATTTTTGAAATTTAAGTAAAATCAACAAAAAAAAGATAATTTGATTTTTACCTCAAGTTTAGAGTCAAATTAGAGAGATAACTGCATTTTGCTAATGCAATACTTAAGTCCAATGTAGCCTAAGCACTAATTTAATTTAAACTATTTTAAAAGTAAATTTAAAGATTTTTAAGAGTAAAAAATATGTTAAAAATAGTTGATTAAAAATAATAATGAAATTTTTAATTGTAGAAATAAATAATAAATCTAAAACATAACTCAACAATCTATAAAAAATAAAAATTGAATATAAGCCATATTTAATATATATTAAAACATTTACCTGAGTTCAAGTGTTAAAGTTGAGATATTTATGCATTTCATTAAACCAGAATTTAATTGAAATATGCCTTCATCACCAATTTAGTTTTCACTTTTTGTTTATTTCATATTAATGAATAATAAATTATATAAATTAACAAAATATTTTACTTAAGATTGAGGGAAAAACTTGTTAGATAAGCAAACTTAGCCAAGACAAAGCCTAATTCCTAAGCACCCTTTACACCAATTTAATTTGAGCTTTAAATTTTCATAATTAGTAAATTTAAATATAAAAGAGAAAAAAAATGAATTAATCGCTGGAAAATAATTAAAGAAATAATTCATAAGTTTTAACAAAAGAGTAAAATTAAAGGACTTTAAAGTCTTTATTAATATTGCATATAAGTAAACAAAATAAAGTGAATTCATACTTAAAGGAATAAATAATAAAAAACTAATCAAATTATAATCATTACTCAAGATCAAGTTTTAAATTAGAGAGATTAACACATTTTGCTAAACCATAGCATACATTTGAAATACCCTTTTCACCAATTTAGCCACTTCTTTTATAATGTTTAAAGGTATTAATTTAAAATATAATAGCAGAATTTTAAAATCAAATTTATATTCTATCAAAAAAATTATGAATAATAAATTTTATAAAACAATAAAAATTTAAGCGAATTAAAAACAATAAAAAAATGATAAATAATTTTTACTCGAGGTTGAGGGTCAAATTTGAGAGATTAATACAATTTGATATAGCAGAACCTAAAAATTATGCTTCATCATCTCCAATTTTATTATAACTTTTGATTTAATTATTATTTTTTTGTCATTTTAAATAAATTAAGTTGCTGAGAAATGTTAGCAATTTAAATATTCATTTTGAAGTTCCCTTAGGATATATTAGCGCAAAATAAAATAAAGCATAATAATTGATCAATATAAATATTATTACCTTAAATTAATACAAAGATTTTAGTGAGATAATAGAGAAGAGCTTAAAAACTATTCATAAAATGCAATTAGACCTATTTTGATGGTAAAAATAATAATTTACATCTTCAAGATTTTTAAAATATTATTTCTATTGCATCATTCTTTTTTTTTACTTGAATAAATCTATAATTAATATTTATATCAAAAATTTAATAATTTATGAAAAAACAGATCAGAATTTTATATTTTAAATAAAAAAGTTAATTCAATAGAAAAAATAAATTTTAACACTTAAATTAATTATCTAAAAATAGATAATTTAACAAAAAACAAATAGACAAAATAAATTATTTCAAATTAGCTTTAATTACTTAATAAAATATTATTTCAGAGCTATCAATTAATTAAGAGATAAAAATAAAACAATAGAATATAACTATTATTTAAATGTAAAAAGTTAAGTAAAGATAATAATAATTAATTAATTAAAATTGGCAAGTATAGATGAAAAAATAAATTATAATTGATAAATGCACTTCTATAAATTAAATATAATTAATTTTCTTTTTTTATGATAGAAACTAGGTGAGTTGTAAATTTTTTTTCATGTTTTTCTTAATTTATAGGGTCGATATCCCAGGATTGATATAAAAAATAAAAGAGTATTAATGATATTTATACTAAAAAAATGTTGAAAGATTTATTAATTTCACATTTTTTAATATTTTTTTATTATAGCAATTTGTTTTTAAAAAATGCTTGATTGCTGATAATGAGAGATCAAGCAAATAATTTTATTATTAAGAGAAAAAAAAATTTATTTTTAATTTAATATAAAATTATAAATAGAAAATAAAAAAATTAATGATAATTTATTTAGATTTTAAATAGAATGTGGATTCAAAAAAATTAATAAAAATTACAAAAACTCTGTTCAAAATATAAAAAATCTATCAATTAAATTAAAAGAGCTTTATTGTTTTAGATTAATTTTTGTAATTAAAAATATCACAATCCAAAATAAATAAACTGTTTTTACTAAAGATAAAGTGCAAAATTTGAGAGATTAATGCACTTTGCTAAAGCAGAACCTAAGCCTGATGTACCTTCATCACCAATTTAATTGTGACTTTTTAAATATTGAAGAAAAAATAAATAATTAATTAGTTATTTAGAAGGAAAAAATGAAGAAAAAATATGAAATAATAAGACTAATGAAAAATAAAAGCAAAAGTTAAAAATAAATAAAATGATGAGCTAAATTAACAAAGAAAGAAGAAATAAAAGCAAGCAAGCACAATAAAAAGAAAAAGAAAAATGAGCTTTATTGTTTTAAATTTGTTTTATAATTAAAAATATCACAATTTAAAATAAATAAACTGTTTTTACCTAAGATCAAGTGTCAAGTTTGAGAGATTATTGCACTTTGCTAAAGCAGAACCTAAGACTGATGTACCTTCATCACTAATTTAATTGAGACTTTTTAAATATTGAAGAAAAAATAAATAATAAATTAGTTATTTAGAAGGAAATAATGAAGAAAAAATATGAAATAATAAGATTAATGAAAAATAAAAGCAAAAGTTAAAAATAAATAAAATGATGAGATAAATTAACAAAGAAAGAAGAAATAAAAGCTAGCAAGCATAATAAAAAGAAAAAGAAAATAGAGCTTTATTATTTTAAATTCGTTTTATAATTAAAAATATCACAATTTAAAATAAATAAACTGTTTTTACATAAGATAAAGTGTTAAATTTGAGAGATTAATGCACTTTGCTAAACCAGAACCTAAGTCTGATGCACCTGCTGCACCAATTTAATTGACACTTTTTAAATATTGAAGAAAAAAGAAATAATTAATTATTTATTTAGAAGGAAAAAATGAAGAAAAAATATGAAATAAAAAGATTAATGAAAAATAAAAGAAATAGTTAAAAATAAATAAAATGATGAGCTAAATTAACAAAGAAAGAAGAAATAAAAGCTAACAAGCATAATAAAAAGAAAAAGAAAATAGAGCTTTATTATTTTAAATTCATTTTATAATTAAAAATATCACAATTTAAAATAAATAAACTGTTTTTACCTAAGATCAAGTGTCAAGTTTGAGAGATTAATGCACTTTGCTAAAGCAGAACCTAAGCCTGATGTACCTTCATCACCAATTTAATTGCGACTTTTTAAATATTGAAGAATAAATAATAAATTAGTTATTTAGAAGGAAAAAATGAAGAAAAAATATGAAATAATAAGATTAATGAAAAATAAAAGCAATAGTTAAAAATAAATAAAATGATGAGCTAAATTAACAAAGAAAGAAGAAATAAAAGATAGCAAGCATAATAAAAAGAAAAAGAAAATAGAGCTTTATTGTTTTAAATTCGTTTTATAATTAAAAATATCACAATCAAAAATAAATAAACTGTTTTTACCTAAGATCAAGTGTCAAGTTTGAGAGATTAATGCACTTTGCTAAAGCAGAACCTAAGCCTGATACACCTGTTGCACCAATTTAATTGAGACTTTTTAAATATTGAAGAAAAAAGAAATAATTAATTAGTTATTTAGAAGGAAAAATGAAGAAAAAATATGAAATAATAAGATTAATGAAAAATAAAAGCAATAGTTAAAAATAAATAAAATGATGAGCTAAATTAACAAAGAAAGAAGAAATAAAAGCTAGCAAGCATAATAAAAAGAAAAAGAAAATAGAGCTTTATTGTTTTAAATTCGTTTTATATTTAAAATATCACAATCAA